GTAGGCAACTTGAAGTCATCTAGGATGATGGTGAGACTTGGAGGTGGAGACAAAACTGTGAGATCAGTGCCAGTCTTCAGTTAATAAGAGGGAGTAAGTAAGAGAAGGACAGGGTGCAGTGAGCAGGAGCGCTGGGTGAGAGGCCAACGTGGAGATGAGGAACAACACACTGGAGTCATGGCATCATCCATAATTCACATCAGGCTAGTCCAAACTGAGCGTTTAGGCAACAAAGCTACCTACCTTCTTTCACTTCATCTCAAAACAAGTCAATGAAGCAAGTAGCATCATTATCATCATTTTAAACAACAGGAGGTAATTTGCCAAAGTAACAAGTCAAAAGGGATTTGAACTATAGCAGTATGGAGTTCAAATTAGTGGGTTATTGTCCAGAAGCCGGACTGGAGAACAGGAAAAGAACTGGACTATGGGAGAGTGTGCAGCCGCTACTCAAAAGGGCTACAGGGAAGACAGTGTCTTCAGAGAAGAGCCAAGTCATAGCTTGGACAAGGAGGTAGAGGAGATATTCTGAGAAGGCTAGAATAGGGTTACCCCACAAAAAGCTCCTATTGTTCCCTTCCCCATTAACCCTATCCACTGTACCCCAGGGCATAGTGGATAGGGTTAGTGGGGAAGGGAACGATAGAGCTTAATAAGAGGGACAGCACTTTTGGGGGGTTAGGAAACATGAGGGATGTGATTGTCCCCAGCTCTTTGTTTCCCTTTGGCCATGGATATTTCTGCCATCAGTAGGCACATGGCGGAGGAAGGGAGGGGGTCTGTGCCTCTTTCCAATAGTGGTTATCAAAGCATGTGTTTAACATTGATAAGTAATTTTCCAAATGTGAAAAGCAACTCTGTCTATGAAGATGCAAGAATCTAATAGTGAAAGTTATGAGTAAATATTTATCAAATCGGCAAAAACAGATAAACTTTGCTGAAGGAATATAAGCAAATTGTGATGAAAAGCAAGCATAGTTGCATTATCACTGAGATTGCTGTTTGTACCACTTTGACTCTGCAGTACTTAGGATTTCTACCGCTGACAGCACTATACTTTTTGTTACGCTTGTATATGTGTCTTCACTGAAATGCAGATCCGTACTGTCCACTACCATAGCACTAGCTACATGTGTCTACTGAGTGCTTGAAATATAGTTAGTCTGAGATCAGGCACAGTGGTTCACACCTGTAATCCCAACAATTTGGGAGGTTGAGGTGGGCAGATCACCTGAGGTCAGAAATTCGAGACCAGCCTGGCCAACATGGTGAAACCGTCTCCACTAAAACTACACAATTAGCCAGGCATAGTGGCGCTTGTCTCTAGTCCCAGCTACTTGGGAGGCTGAGGCAAGAGAATAACTTGAACCTGGGAGATGGAGGTTGCAGTGAGCCGAGGTAACATCATTGCACTCTAGGCTGGGCAACAAGAGTGAAACTGTCTCGGAAAAAAAGAAAAAGGAGAAATATAGTCTGACAAGTACTGTAAGTAATACATGCCAGATTATATAGACTTGGTTCGAGAAAAGGAAATAATTAATATCTCACTAATATTTTATATTGATTACATGCTGAAAAAACATTTTGGATATATTGAACTAAATAAAATTATTAAAATTAATTTCAGCTGTTTCTTTTTACCTTTTTAATATGGCTACTGGAAAATTTAAAATTACATATGACCTTGCATATGAGACCCACATTCTACTTCCATTGGACGGTGTTGGTTTAGGGCCAGGCTCTCTTTGGAATTCTGTACACAGTTGGGCTTCAGAAGTATTTTGACTGGTTTCTTAAATCCCCTGGGGGAAGAGGACAAATTGAAATATTTTTTTTTTCAAATTTTAGATTGCTCTACCACTAGTATTTAAGTTTTGTGTACTTTATCTTCTCTGATTGCAAACATGAAAAAAAAATGTATTTGCCATCATGGAGACCAGAACCACGCCATATAATTAAGTTTGCTTAAGCCTCTTTGAAGTACCTTAAATGAAGGTTTGGACCCTGATGCTTCTTTTCATTATATCGATCTTTCAATTCATTTCCAAACAGTCTTTTTCTATCATATCATACTCTCTTTCCTGTAAAAAATAATAACTGCTAGGCCAGGCACAGTGGTTCACACCTGTAATCCCAGCACTTTGGGAGGCCACGGCGGGTGGATCAGGAGTTCAAGACCAGCCTATCCAAGATGGTCAAATCCTGTCTCTACTTAAAACTACAAAAATTAGCCGGGCACAGTGGTAGGCTCCTGTAATCCCAGCTACTCTCAGAGGCTGAGGCAGGAGAATCGCTTGAACCCAGGTGGCAGAGGTCGCATTGAGCTGAGATCTTGCCACTGCACTCCAGCCTGGGTGATAGAGTAAGACTCCATCTAAAATATATATATATTTTACATATAATGCTTTCCCTTTTTATGGGTACTATTGTCTCATGTGATCAGAATTTAGTTTCAAAATGTGGCCAAGTTACTTAATCTCCCTGAGCTTCAATTTCCTCATTTTTAAAATGGGGATGATAAAAGTAGTCACCTCATAGTGTTGTAGCCTAGGCTAAATGGTTTAACACCTAGAAGGTGCTCAGAACAGGGCCAGGCAAATGACAAGAACTCAGGAAGTGCTCACTGTTTGTGTCTGCCTCTCTTTCCTTATTCCTTCAGCTTTTCGTCTGAGCATCTCAGCTCTTGCCATCCCACCCACACATCTTCACTTTTGAGGAACTGTAATAAATAAACAGGCGTCCTATTCTCCTCTACTGTGGGCCCATAGAAAGCTTAGTGCTGTCTTCTGAGATGGCTGGCCGCTTGGGGCCTCTGCCCTACTGGGGAGATGAACCCTCAGACTCTAATTTAGAAGCTAGGTCTTAGATGAGGAGAAGGGGTTTCTGCCTTTTTTAGGTCTTAGCAGAGAACATTCTGGGTGTGCTTGTTGATGCTTCTGGGAAGCAGGTATGGCAGATGGCCTCTCCAGGGAAGGGGGCTGGAACAGACAGCAGCTAGCCTTGGAGAGAAGCATGTATGGACAGGAATAAACTGTTTTGTAAACCAGAAAAAAAGTTTTATCTATCACATGTTATGCTCTCTTGGTATTTCCTTATACTCAAGTCTTTAACAGAAAGGTGCAAGGCGCGAGGGGGAAGGGTGCTCTGGGAAACTAAAAGATGTTTTTAAGAAGAACGAAGGTATCATCCTCACTAAATTGCAGAGTGGAAGTTCTACATGTTCGGGGGGGTGTTAGTCAATTGTGGGGAGCTTGACTGATGGCTGATCAGGTCCAGACCCTGAAAGTCATACTCTGTTTTTTCTTTTGGGCCTGCTACTCTAGGGGGGAACCTCCATCTGTTCTTTCTAGGGGACATGTGGGGGAATATGCTGGCTGCAACAGAAGAGACCTCGAGTCCTCACATTTCAGCAAATGGACATCGACTTCATTCTCATTTTTAGTAAGCTCCCCCCTCAACTCCAGCAAGCGAATACTGGGGTCCTGAGATCTGGAGCTCTGTGGTTCAGCATTTCTCTGGAATAATCTTCCTATTCCCAAACTAGTTGCTGCTTAGTATCAGCTTCCTATCCTTAAGGGGAAGGGCAAAATGTGAGGGTTCCTTCTCACCAGAAAATTCTAGTGCCACAAGTGAAAGGAGAGGTTAACTATGATCCAAAGAAACAAAGCCGGTGAATGACTACCAAACAATTCCTTTAAGCGTCAAACACTTATTATGGGTCAAACACTGTGAAGCTCTTAACAAATCATCAAATCCTCTGGCAGTAATCCTTGAGGCAAGCTTGAGAAATTCCATTCTACAGCTGAAGAAATGGAGGGTTGGTGTAGCCAAGAGACATGGAAAAACCAAGTCACTCATCTTTGCCAGAGCTGAGAGTCAAGCCAGGATGGTCTGTCCATCTCTTAATCAGTACATTACCCATGAAATTGGCGCTGGCAACTATAGTGTAGGTTCAGGGAGGACAGCAGCTAAGTATTTGACACATGGTGATCTTTCCCTCTATCTTGGCTGGTCAAGATGTGGTCATTACTGGAGGCTCCCAGGGCCTACATAAAGGGACTAGGTAAGAAGCCTAGAAGACCTGAGGTTGTCCCTGTAGCTCCCCATCTTGGGGTCAGCCTGCATTCATGGGGCAGGAGCTCTGAACTTGCATCAGGATCCTTCTTTCTCAGGTAAGAAAAAAAACTTAGAGCTGATAAGGCAGCACCACATTTTGCAGCCCCATTTTGGAGAGACATCTTTTTGTTAGGACTTTGTAAGTCACTGCAGTAGTCCCCTCGGTCTCATTTATTATTGTTCTATGAAGCCCTGTTCATCTGCCCCCACCCCAAAAAAAAAGAAAAGAAGAAGAAAAAGAAATCTTCCTAACAGAGTTTAAAAGATGGAAGCCTAGGCACACTGTTACTTGTCCTACACTGCACAGCGATTCAAGCACTCTCAGGCCTCCACGTGCACCTGCCAGGTTCCCCTCCTCATGGGAAGAATGTACTGGAGCAAGTAGGCAGTTTCTTTTTCAAATTTCCGCTTATACTTGACATTACGTGGTGCTTAATCAACACAGAATGAAAGAAATGAAAAGGCTTATTTAGAATGAGCGCTAAGCAATGTGTACACACGGACTTTAGACACCGGAGACTCCAAAAGATGGGACGGTGGGAGAGGGATGAGGGATGAGAAATTACCTATTAGATACAGTATGCGATTCGGGCAACAGTTACACTAAGAGCCCAGATGTCACCACAATGCAATATACCCATGTAACAGAACTGCACTTGTAACCCCTAAATCTATTTTTTAAAAATGATACCCCAAAAAGGTGGTTTGGGGTCAGAGAGTAAGGGAGAGAAAGGGAGAATGAGAGGCGGGAAGAGGGGTGGGGCGAGGCAGGCGGGGAGGTTCCGGTGTGAAGTTGTTTCCGCGCAAAAGAAGAGTGGCTGGCAGGGCAGACATAGGTGTCAGGAGGACCGGGGTGGGGACAGGACCAGGAGGCTGGCGCTTACCCCAGGAAGACGAGGAACCGCGGGTCCGTAGCCAGGTTGGCGTCGATGGTGATGGACAGGAACGAGGGGCTCACCAGGTGCAGCGGCTGCTGGGTGAAGAAGTCCAGGTCCACGGCGTCCTGTGCTTGCGCGGTTCCGGGCAGGGCGCCCGGGAAGAGGGCACCCAGCGGCCCCAGGAGCAGCAGCAGCAGCGGCGGCGGCAGCGCCGGCTTCGAGCGCGGCAGCATCTTTGGCTCACCTGGCTGCTTCCCCCGCCAGGGGCCGCGCAGCGGAGAGTCGAGAGCTCGCGCACTTCCTCCCGCGGAGCCCCAGCGCCTTTTTCTCCTTTCCTCCGCCCCGTTCCGCCTCCTCATCCCTCCCACTGCGCCCTCCATCCCTCCCACTCCTCTTCTGCATCCCTCCCACTGCTCCCGATCCAACCCCGCCCCGCCTGCCCCGCTCACTCCCATTTCCTTGCTCTCTTTCCCCTCTGTGGCGGTCACGTCACTTACGAAATCACCCACACCCACTTGAAGGGAGCGGAGATGTCCGGGATCCAAGCTCCCGGGAGGCCTGGGGAGGAGCGCCAGGGGAGCAGCGTTGGGCACCCCGACCCCGGACCCAGCTTCCTGACGCACGTGTCCTGCGCGCGCTCGTGGGAACCCAGCGTTTCCCACTTCCAGGTCTCATTCTGGTGACGCCGGGTCTCTTTCTGACCCTCGAGTAAAACCTCTAATGGAGCATTCATACCTTCCCCTTCCATCTAGATTATAAACACTTCCCCGTCACTTGAGCCAGCCAAAATCTGATTGTCCTCTTGCCAGGTAATTTCTCAGTTCTTTTACTTTTGCCTGAAAAAATCTGACCTCCGCATACGCTAAACTGCAGCTAGAAAGAAATCAACCGCCCAAAATTGTTTATCCACTTCTTTTGAAGGCAATAGTTAGCAATCTTAAAGTGTTAGTTGCTCCAATGTCTGGAACTCAGGACCTGAAGCCCGCATACAAAGTGTAAAGTACGGAATGTCCCTGAGTGTGGTGCCTTTGCCAAATTTCCCCTCTGCGCATTTATCTTGGGCTATTGGTCTGACTTTTCTTCAGCTTTACCTTGGTGCTTACAGTGATGAATAATCATAGCGAACATCGCGCACTCAGTGCTTACTGTATGCCTAAGTGTGCTTTACCTGTGCTCTCTCCCCTTCTCACAACCCCTGCGAAGTGCAGACTGTCCTTGTTTTACACCCAAGCTCTGAGACAGTAACTGGGTGAAGTGTCCGAATAGGGATGTGAATGCAGTTACAAAACCTCGAGCAGATGGCAGTCTGTCTCAGCTGAAACGCAACTTCCCTCAAGGAAGATTTCTCTCAATCTCCAGGCTGCAAGTCCCCATGGCAGACTCTCATAGCATCCTCAGTTTGTTAGACTGCCTCACCCATTTGCTAGTATTGTGACATTACTCAACATTGGCTTCATCTACTAGATTATACACTCCATGAAAATAGAGATCAAGTTTGTCTTATACGCTGTGCTAGCCACAGCTCATGCGTGTGACCATGCTTGGTGCTTAGTAAGAGTCCAATAAATACTTGTTGAGTAAGCAAATAACACGAAAACCCTTAGATTTTTCCACTTGAGACTGTACTACCAATAAAGCAACAAATAAAAATTGTTTTGAAATGCATATCTAATTTGCAGAGATCAGGCCAGGCGTGGTAGGTCATGCCTATAATCCCAGCATTTTGGGAGGCCAAGGTGGGAGGATTGCTTGATCCCAGGAGTTCAAGACCAGCTTGGGCAACCTGATGAAACCCCATCTCTACAAAAAATACAAAAAATTAGCCAGTCATGGTGGCATGTGCCTGTGGTCCCAGCTACTTGGGAGGCTGAGGTGAGAGGTTCGTTTGAGCGTGGGAGGCGAAGGTTGCAGAGAGCCTTGATCACACTACTGCACTTCAGCCTGGGTGACAAAGTGAGACCCTGTCTTAAAATAGTAATAATTATTATCATTATTATTTGCATAGATTTACCTATTCATAAACAACTTAAAAGCTAAGCTCCTAGTAAATTTTGCAACTGAAATCAGGTTCATATCCTATAATTACTGTATACATAAGAAAAAAATTCACATATAAACACCATGCTACCAGGAGAGTGTAATAATATGGAAAGAAACACATGGAGTTGGAAAAACAGCAGCAGTTTCTTTTCCACATTTGTCATGACATTAATCTTACATCCCACCCCATGCCCCTGCCTCCTGTTGTGAGACAACAGTCACACCGATTTCTTTAGCATATTTGGGTAATTTGAAAAGCGGACCATTGCAAGTTTTCTAAATAGTGCATCCTTGTAGTCTACATGTGAGTTACTAATATGGAAACTGGGGGCCAGGCATGGTGGCTCACACCTGTAACTCCAACACTTTGGGAGGCCAAAGCAGGCAGATCACTAGAGCCTAAAAGTTCAAGACCAGCCTGGGCAACATGGCAGAGCCAGGAGTGGTGGTGCGTACCTATAATCCAAGCTACTCAGGAGACGAGGCATGAGAATTACTTAACCTGGAAGGCAGAGGTTGCAGTGAGCCAAGATCACGCTACTTCACTCTTGCCTGGGCGGCAGAGAGAGATCCTGTCTTCAAAAAAGAAAAAGAAAAGAAACTGGGAAAACATGAACAAGGAGGCAGAGAAGCAATTTGCACACAGGATGATCTGTTGGCTGAGATCAGATGAGTTTCTGGCTCCTGCCTCTAAGTTAGTTTGATTTACAATGTTCGATATGGGGACTATATGGATACAAAGGAAGGAGATACATATAGGAATATTAATAGGAACTGTCATTTCAGAGATATTTTATAAAAAGACACCTTAGTTTTTATAGGAAGTTACAGCTACATACATCTTAGCTAGAGCCCATTTTCAAGCTTCTTAGCCCTGCAGCTTGGTGGGATGTATAATCTTGGGCCAGATTGTCAATCTCCAAGAGCCTCAATTTGTTCATCTGTATGGTAGGGATAATAATACATATTTCATAGGATGTTTTTCTTTCTGAGAAAAGGTCTCACTCTGTCACCCAGGTTGGCGCACAGTGGTATGATCTTGGCTCACTACAACCTCCACCTCCCATGCTCAAGCAATCCTCCCACCTCAGCCTCCCAAGTAGATGGCACCACAGGTGTGCTCCACCATGCCTAGCTAAGTCTTTGTATTTTTGGTATAGATGGGGTTTTGCCACGCTTCCCAGACTGGTCTCAAACTCCTGAGCTCAGGAGATCCACCCACTTGAGCCTTCCAAAATGCTGGAATTATAGGCATGAGCCACTATACCTGGCCTATAGTCTTTTTTAAAAGAATTAATTGACAATATATGTAACACAGCTAGTTCCATCTACAATATGAAGCATGTGTTTAAGAGATGAGAGATTATTTTTAACAAAATTATTACCTCCACTTAATCTTTACAATAACCTTGTGAAGTAGGTTTACAGCTTTCTGATTCCAAGCCCAGAGTTTTTCTGCTATCTCACCCAGATTTGGGGACTCACAAATTATGTGATGATAATGATTTAGAAATAAAAAACTTCAAATGAACTAGAAAGTTTATATGAAACCTTTATTAATTATAGGGCCCGGTACAGTAGCTCACACCTGTAATCCCAGGGCTTTGGGAGGATAAGGAGGAGAATCGCTTGAGCCCAAGAGTTTGAAACCAGCCAGAGCAACCATCTCTGGTTTAGTGAGACCCCACCTCTAAAAAAAAAAGTTTTTTAATTAGCTGGGTGTGGTAGCATGCACTTGTAGTTCCAGCTACTTCACAGGCTAAGGTGGGACACTTGCGTGAGCCCAGGAGGTAGAGACTGCAGAGAGCCATGATCATGCCACTGCACTCCATCCTAGAAGTGAGACTCTGTCTCAAAAAAAATTAATAAATAAAAATACAAAAATAATTATAATGTGACAATCATTTTCACATGGCCTGTGGATTGATTTTCAGTACTGGCATTGTGTTTTTAGGGATTCACACAAGGTTTACCTGGTCAACAATTACAAACACTTGTAAAACAACAGACTGATTTCAGGATATTTTCAGAAAATAATAATCTTATCACTTGTCTATTTAGAAAATTAAGACTTTTCTAATGTAGAAATCTCTTAACAGGGACAAATTTTAGGCATCTGTAGTTATCTCCAGGAACATAAATGGTTACAAATGTGTTTTGAGTTACTGGGTTGTGAATTCCTAAAGTTAAGTTTTGCTTTTAATTATTTGGCAATCGAACTATATTTCAAAGCAAGGACAAACTGAGAGAAAATTTTTGCTGAATGGTGAAAGGAAGGAAGTTAACATCTATTGCATGCATGGTGTTCTACAAGGTGCTTTCACATATTTGTTTATTCATCTATTCATTCAAATAGTTATTGGGTGCCTACTATGTACCAAGCACTGAGCTAAGCGACAGTAAGCAGCAAGCAGGAATGGTTCCTGTACTCTGAAGTCTTACTGGGGAAGTAGAAGGCATTTTAAAAATCACAGGCTGGAGGTGGCTCATGCCTATAATCCCAGCTCTTTAGGAAGCTGAGGCAGGTGGACTGCTTGAGTCCAAGAGTTCAAGACCAGCCTGAGCAAAGTGGTGAAACCCCATCTCTGCCCAAAATACAAAACTTTAGCTGATGTGGTGGCATGTGCCTGTAGTCCCAGCTATTCAGGAGGCTGAGTCAGGAGTATTGTTTAAGCCCAAGAGGCAGAGGTTGCAGTGAGCCAAGAATGCACCGTTGCACTCCAGCCTGGGAGACAGAGACAGACTCTGTTTCAAAAAATAATAATAAAAATGAATTTTAAAAAATCACACAAAAGTGAAATTGCAAGTGTAGTAGGTGCTCTAAAGGTGATCATGGTGCTTTACACGTGATTTCAACTTTGGGAGAGATGGGGAGAGGGGTCATTGAGGATGTGACATTTAAGATCTGAGGCCGGGCGCGGTGGCTTAAGCCTGTAATCCCAGCACTTTGGGAGGCCAAGGGGGGCAGATCATGAGGTCAAGAGATCAAGACCATCCTGGCCAACATGGTAAAACCCCATCTCTACTAAAAATACAAAAATTAGCTGGGCATGGTGGCGTGTGCCTGTAGTCCCAGCTACTCGGGAGGCTGAGGCAGGAGAATTGCTTGAACCCCAGAGGTGGAGGTTGCAGTGAGCCAAGATTGTGCCACTGTGCTCCACCTGGCACCTGGCAACAGAGTGAAACTCTGTCTTAAAAAAAAAAAAGATCTGAAAGGTGCATAGACAACTAGGTAGAGGGAAATCATTCAAGGCTAAGGGGATGGGATGTGGAAAGGTCCTGTGGT